CCCTCCACAATCGGGCCAAAGCTGCTCTTCAGCACCTCACGAAGCTTTCGAGCTTGTTCCGACACCTAACCTTCACAGCATCTACGCCCTATCACAGCAAACCCTAAACCCTAAAACCTAAACCCTAAACCCTAAACCCTAAACCCTAAACCCTAAACCCTAAACCCTAAACCCTAAACCCTAAACCCTAAACCCTAATCCCTAATCCCTAAACCCTAAACCCTAACTAAACCCTGAACCCCATAAACACCAAGACCCCATAGACCCGCAAGGAGGACGCGTTCTGCGGACTAGCGGACGCGAGCCTGGAGCGCCAGCAGCTGGCAGGTTTAGGGTTGAGGCTTAGGGTTTAGGGTTTAGGGTTATAGGGTCTAGGGTTTAGGGTCTAGGGTTTAGGGTTTAGGGTTTCGGGTTTCGGATTTCGGGGTCGGCGGACCCTAAGACTTAAGGCTTTTTTTAATTTTTTTTCGGTAAGGTCCTCTCTGGAGAGCTTCAGGATGCAGGGTTTGGGGCTCAGGGTTAACCCCGAAACCCTGCTTAGGGCTCTGAAGTATCAAGGCAATGAAGGGTCTTCTAAAGCTTTACGAACCCCAAGCCCCAAGCCGCCCAGACCCGAAGCTTTAAAGCCCTTAAGTGCCCTAAACTCCAAACTCCTAAGCCTTAGGGTCCATGCAGGTGTCTCGGCTCAACCCCAAACCCCCAAACCCTGAGACCCTAAATTGTTCTAAATCCCCCTCAATCCTAAGCCCTAAGGCCTAAGGCCTAAGGCCTAAGCCCTAAGGCTGAAGTCCTAAGCCTTAAGCCCTAAGCCCTAAACCCTAAGCCGTAAGCCCTAAGCCCTCAGCCCTAAGCAGCCCTAAGCAGCCCTAAGCAGCCCTAAGCAGCCCTAAGCCCTAAGCCCTAAGCCCTAAGCCTAAGGCCTAAGCCCTAAGGCCTTAAGGCCTTGAAGAGTTCCGGGTTCGGGGTTTGGCCCTAAACCCTGTGCCATTGCTTCCAGGAGACCAAAACAGCGGCTGGGGCCGGATACCACAGGGAGGGCGCTGGGGAGGCCGGTATATGGGGTTTCGGAGCTGCGGGTTGAGAGCTAAAGGGTTCAGGGTGTAGGGTTTAGGGTTTAGGGTTTAGGGTTTAGAGTTTATGGTTTAGGGTGTAGGGTTTAGGGTTTAGAGTCTAGGGTTTAGAGTGACTTCACGGTTTTTGAAGTTCAGGCGTTGGCATGTTTGTTGAAGGTGCACGTGTCCGTTGAACTGAGGGCCTCTAGGGTCCATACACAGCTACCTGCCAGAGCCAAAGCCCTTAAAACAATGTCGAAGAAGGAGTATCCAGGTAGGTGCTTTGACCTTCACCAGCCAACATGCAGGGCACCCTGACGGGCCAAACAATCAGCCGGTACAGGAAGCAAAGAAATTTTTGCAAGGAGTAGGATGTCAATACAGCGCACTTAATTCCCAAATCCTGAACCCTAAACCCTTCACCCTAAACCCTGAACCCTAAACCCTAAACCCCAAACCCTAAACCCTAACCCTAAACCCTAAACCCTAAACCCTAAACCCTAAACCCTAAACCCTAAACCCTAAACCCTAAACCCTAAACCCTAAACCCTAAACCCTAAACCCTAAACCCTAAACCCTAAACACCATAAGGGACAGCCTAAATTCAGTTGCCATACCAAGGAAACCAGAACCCAGGAATTCTGGCTCAACCGCCGGCGCGTGGAGCATGCTCCACTCCACTTCAAAGTCCGCCCTCAGCCCTCAACCCTCAACCCTCAACCCTCAACCCTCAACCCTCAACCCTCAACCCTCAACCCTAAACCCTAAACCCTAAACCCTAAACCCTAAACCCTAAACCCTAAACCCTAAACCCACCCCAGGAGGTGAGCTCTCCCACGGCTGCGGCATTGCCGAAGCACCCGCACAAGGCAGGGGAAGTTCCGGGGGGTTTAGGGTTTAGGGTTTAGGGTTTAAGGTTTAGGGTTTAGGGTGGGGTTCAGAGGGTTTAGGGGCTGGAGGTGTCGAGGATTCAGGGGTTCAAGAGATTTAGTCGTTTTTAGAGTTGGAGGTTAAGGGTTAGACGGCGTGTTGATGCTTAGAGCTTTGCATCACGGCGATTTTGTTTTTGGAATGCATTGGTGTGATGTTTTTGTTTCCTTGGGAGGGTCTGAGGCATCAAGGGTCCAGCTATTTTCGTTTCATTCGCGGGGGGCTGGTAAGTGGTAACCCTCAACCCTAAACCCTAAACCCTAAACCCTAAACCCTAAACCCTAAACCCTAAACCCTAAACCCTAAACCAAAAACCCTAAACCCTAAACCCTAAACCCTAAACCCTAAACCCTAAACCCTAAACCCTAAACCCTAAACCCTAAACCCTAAACCCTAAACCCTAAAACCCAAAACAAACCCTAAACCCTAAACCCTAAACCCTAAACCCCAAACCCTTAACCCCATACCCGAAACCCTGAACCGGCCTCTTGGGGTGAGCGGCTTGCCCTTTCTTCGCAGAGGCCCGCGAGATGCTGCGCAGCCTCCGCACGCTTTGAGGGGCGGGAAATATGCACAGAGCGTTTGAATCCATTAGCCCTAAACCCTAAACCCTAAACCCTAAACCCTAAACCCTAAACCCTAAACCCCAAACCCTGAATCCTAAACCCTAAATCCTAAACCCTAAATCCTAAGCCCTAAACGTAGCCCAGTCAGTCTTCTGATTGCTGGCAGCCGATGCCAAAGGCGTCGACGGCTTCGGCAGTCTGTGGACCTAGGCCGTCAACAGAAGGAGGGTTCCGGGTCTAAGGTTTTTTAGGGTTACCCTAATTACCCTAATTACCCTAAAGCCTAAACCCAAACCCTAAGCCCTAAACCCTGAACCCTTGAGGGTTTTAGGGATGCTTGTGTGCCTAGGACATGCTCGAGGTTAAACTGTACAGGCTCAGTTGTCCAAGCAGCTGCAACCTTGAGTTTGTTCTGTTCAACTGCCGGCCGACAAATGCCCACTAGGTCGCGGCCAAGCACAGGGTGCTTCACAGGTTGCCTAGAAGCCCTAAACCCTAAACCCTAAACCCGAAACCCGAAACCCGCAACCTAAACTAAACCCTAAACTCAAGTCAAGGCCTAGGCCGCCCCCCTACAGTTGGGGGGCGGCGCCTAAGCTCCTCGACCTCGATGGCGCAAGTCGACCCAGCTCGTTCGCCCGCCTTGCGCGGCTCGGAGGTCGGTAGCACCCACGATGGGCCCGGTACCGGAGCCCTTAAGTCATGACCCTAAACCCGGAGACTGCCGTGTTTTGCTGCACCAGGGGGGCCCGGACCCCTCGCCGCTCGCCTGGCAACGGGGTGTTTTGGGGGGGGTTACCCCAAGGCCCCGGCTGAAAGTGGCTACGGTGACGGAAAGGTTTTTTTGAAAGTAAGCGATTGTCATGAGTTTAGGCCTAAACCCTAAAAGGAATAGGTTTGGGTGGTTTTGCCGCCTCGGACGGCGTGGGAGCCTCTGCTGCATCCTAACCTTCACAGCATCCACGCCCTATCGCAGCAAACCCTAAACCCGAAACCCCAAACCCTAAACCCTAAACCCTGCATCAACTGACATGCCAACCAAAGGGCAGGAGTCGGAGGCACTGGCAAGTGCATGGTCGTTGCACTAGAATTATTTGCTTTCCTCAGGATCGCTGAGGGTTTAGGGTTTAGGGTTTAGGGTTTAGGGTTTAGGGTTTAGGGTTTAGGGTTTAGGGTTTAGGGTTTAGGGTTTAGGGTTTAGGGTATGAGTTTAGGGTTTCCTTTGCCGGCCCAAGCAGATGGGTCGGCTTTCAAGAAGCTCCATTTTTGGAGGGTCCATGGTGGGCCCTATCAAAAAGTCCTGACTTCCTAAGGACAAGGAGCTGTTTTGAAACAGTGTGCTTGCATTCTGCATGATGGCAGATCATGTTTGAACGTACGCCGGTATCTGGAGCATCCTTTTGCAAAGGGTCACAATGCTTGCCGTGTCAAGTCAGCAACGAAACCTCAGCACCCTCAGCATACAAGTCGACACCCTAAACCCTAAACCCTAAACCCTAAACCCTAAACCCTAAACCCTAAACCCTAAACCCTAAACCCTAAACCGTAAACCATAAACCCTAAACCCCAAACCCTAAGCCCCTAATCCGTGACGTTTTAAGTAGGCTGGCGCGGCAGGCGAGGTGCAAGATCGAAGGAGATCGTTGTCTTGCGCCCGTGCGCAGGTGGAGTGGAAAGGGTTCAGCTCCTTTCATCCCACAGGCCAGACCCGGACGGAAGGGCAGATGAAAAAGGAAGGGCCTAGGGTTTAGGGTTTAGGGCTTAGGGCTTTGGTTTTACGGTTTAGGGTTTAGGTAGGGGTTGTAGGGTGTGTGGGGTTTATTTGTGGGATTTGTAGGAATTGTAGGGTTTGCAGGGTTTGTAGGGTTTCTAGGGTTTGTAGGGGTTTAGGGTTTGTATGGTTTGTAGGGTTTTTAGGGTTTGTAGGGTTGAAAGTCTTCAGGGTTGAAGGTTTAGTGTTTAGGGGCACTCCCGCTAAACCCTAACCCCTTAAACCCTAACCCTAAACCCTAAACCCCAAACCGTAAACTGTAAAACCCTGCAAGCTCGTGAGGAGACGGCTACGGCTTACTGCGCCAGCCACCGTAGCGACGCGGTAGTCAAGAACTGCCCCGCGGCTTCAAGGGGCATGGTGGTTATCCCCGAAACCCTAAACCTCAAACGGTTCTAAACTCGAAACCCAAAACCCTAAACCTTAAACCCCAAACCATAAACCCGAAACCTGGAACCCTAAACCCTAAACCCGAAAGGACTTTACTTCAGGGGATTAGGGTTTAGGGGGTTCCTCCTCACTTTCTCAAGTCAAGGCAACCTCCGCATACGACCTTTTCCAATAAGCGAAGCTCAAACCCCCAGCCCCATGAACAGAAAAAGACCCGAAACCCTAAACATAAGACTTAAAAAATTGGCTTCTTGCATCCGTGGAAAAGGGCATGGTTTGTGCATCTAAGGCATGAAATTCTACGATGGCAGTCCTGCGCTCAGATTGCTTCGGGGTTCAGGGTTTAAGGGTTCAGTCTTCAGGGACTTCACGGCTTTGGGGCTTGAAGGGCTTGGGGGTGTAAGCAGGCACCTGGGAGGTCAGGGGCAGTACCGCAGAGGACCCGAGCCCCCTTGTTGCCCAGGGCACGTCGCCGTGATCCACCATGTCAACAACGTCGCAATCCACGAGCTGGCCAGAAAGCTGCTGGACCACGAGGGCGGCGAGCCCGCGACGCCAGCACCGGCGCAAACCGAGGCAGGCCTGGCCAAGGCGGCAGCGCCGGCAGAAGCCGCGAGGGCGCCTTGGTGTTTCCTTTTGGGGTTAGGCTGATGAAGGTTTAGGGAGGTTCGGGGATTTTGGGTTGAGGGACACCGCTTTGGGTAAACCCTTGAACCCTGAAGCCCTAAATCCCTACATCCCTTTTCCATGACACCCTAAGACCCTAAAACCCTAAACCCTAAAACCCCAAAACCCTAAAACTTAAAACCTAAAATATTGAAACCCTGAAACCCTAAAACCCTAAAACCCTAAAGCCCTAAAACCCTAAAACCCCAAAACCCCAAAACCCTAAAACCCCAAAACCCTAAAACCCCAAAACCCCAAAACCCTAAAACCCTAAAACCCTGAAACCCAAAAACCCCGAAACCCCAAAACCCAAAAACCCTAAGCTCCAAATCCCAAAAGCCCCTCCGGCCCACTCAGGCACCAGCGGCGGAGCCCAGCCCCATTCCCCCAGTGGAGGCGCCGGCCCCTTCGCCCGACCACGGCGGAGATATGGGAATGCAACATGGCTACGGATTAGGGCTGAGGGTTTAGGGTTCAGGGGTCGGGGAGCCGAAGCCCTAAGCCCTAAGCCCTAAACCCTAAACCCTAAGCCCTAAACCCTAGAACCCTAAACCCCAAACCTTAAGCCCTAAGCCCTAAGCCCTAAGCCCTAAGCCCTAAGCCCTAAGCCCTAAGCCCTAAGCCCTAAACCCTAAACGATAAACCCTGTACCCCCTAGAAGGAAGCTCTTCTGCTTCGCATGGTCGCCTCGACGCAAGAACGACGAGGGCATGCTTAACGAGGCCTTCATGCATTGCAATCCGGGCCCTGTTGGTTTAGGGTTTAGGCTTTAGGGTTTAGGGCTTAGGGTTTAGGGTTTAGGGTTTAGGGTTGTATAATAGGTTTTAGGGTTTTTAGGGTTTCGGGTCCATGGTCTGGGGTTAAGGGCTTCGGGGTTTGGGCGGTTTAGGCGGTTTAGGCGGTTTAGGTCAACCGAAATCTCCAAGCCCTTATTCCTAGTATGACATTGGAAGCCCAACAGACGGTTCTTAAGATGACAGCTACATAAACCTTCGCCCTACACCCCTAAACCTTGGGGCAGAAAGACCGGACGCAGTTTTAGAGTTTAGGGCTTAGGGGGGTTTACGGGGTTTACGGGGTTTGCGGTGTTTTCCATATTGGCACCTACACCCTAAAACCCTAAACCCTTAACCTTAAACCCCAAAATCCCCCAGCCCTAGCCCCAAACTGTCAACCCTAAACCCTGGCTTTTGGGTTAGGGGAGTTCACGGAAACCTAAACCCAAAACCTCAAGACTTGCCACTCAGCAGGTCAGGAAGCAGTACAGAAAGTGCGATGGCCTGACCCTCGGTCTGCCGGCACTCTGCCAGATGAAGCCACACTCTCACACTACTGTTCCCAAAGCCCAAAAACCCTAAACTTAAGGTTTAGGGTTTAGGGTTTAGGGTTTAGGGTTTAGGGTTTAGGGTTTAGGGTTTGGGGTTTAGGGTTTAGGGTTTGGGGGTTTAGGGTTTAGGGTTTGGGGTGTTTGGAGTCTTAAGTTCTGTTGCAGGGGAGTAGCGATTTGGCTGCTGGCGACCCCCCATGTGCAACCTAAGCCTTTCGCTTGAAAATTTCCGCATAGGCGGCCGCGGTCGTGGAGTCAAGGTTTAAGGTCTGGGGGCAGGGGTTTCGGGATCTTTGGGAGTTAAGGGTTCTAGAGTTTAGGGTTTAGGGTTTAGGGTTTAGGGTTCTAGAGTTTAGGGTTCAGGGTTTAGGGTTCTAGAGTTTAGGGTTTAGGGTTTCGGGCATTCAGGGTTTTAGTTCAGGATTGGGGGTAGTGGGCTTCAGAGTCCCGAAACCTAGACCCTGGACCCTAGACCCTAGACCCTAGACCCTAAACCCTAAACCCTAAACCCTAAACCCTAAACCCTAAACCCTAAATCCTATGTTTCAGGGGGTGGGTCCAGGCCACCTCTTCTTCACGGACACTGAGAGCCCCGTGAAGGAGGACGAGGAGGACTTCGTCCGGGTGCACGTGCCAAAGCAGCGCGTGACGCGAGTCTGCACGCAGTAGGGTTTAGGGTTTAGGGTTTAGGGTTTAGGGTTTAGGGTTTAGGGTTTAGGGTTTAGGGTTTAGTAATTTCGGGTTTAGGGTTTAGGGTTGAGGCTAAACGGTTTAGGGTTTAGGGTTTAGGGTCCTGCAACCCTACACCCTGAACCCCAAACCCGAAACCGCCGCAACCCAACAGACATTCTCCGAAAGGTGGTCCTTGTAGGCTCTGAAAAGACAGGCTGAGGGTTTTGGGAAACCCAGATAGGAATCAATTCGGGCTTAGGGCTTAGGGGCTAGGGTCTAGGGTTTAGGGTTTAGGTTTAGGGTTTTAGGGTTTTAGGGTTTAGGGTTTAGGGTTTAGGGTTTAGGGTTTAGGGTTTAGGGTTTAGGGTTTAGGGTTTAGGGTTTAGGGTTTAGGGTTTAGGGTTAGGGAGTAGGGTAGGGTTGAGGGTTGGGGTACCATGTTCCTGGTCATGAGTGGTTGCCTTCTTTTGTTGTTTCTTCTCAGTTCTTCTGGATCCCTACACCCCTAAACCCTCCTCAAAACCTCAACCCGTAAAACCCTAAACCTCTGAACCCCTGAACCCCACGACACCGACCTTAAACCCTGACCCCTGACCCTAAACCCTAAACCTTAAACCCAAAAAACGAGTCCTGTGGGCAAGGGACCGTACCCATGGACAATGGCCCGGCCCTCAGCCAGGGCTTTGAGGGTTTTTGTTAGGCTCCAGGATATGAGGGTTGCAGGGTTTAGGGTTTAGGGTTTGGCGCTTAGGGTTTAGGGTTTAGGGTTTAGGGTTTAGGGTTTAGGGTTTAGAGTTTAGGGTTTTGGGTTTAGGGTTTAGGGTTTAGGGTTTAGGGTTTAGGGTTTAGGGTTTAGGGTTTAGGGTTTAGGGGTGTTAGGCTTCAGGACTTAAGGCCTGCAGGGTTGACGGATTCTGCTTTTTGTTTTCTTTTGGGGGGCTCTAGGGTTTGAGTTTTTTGGCTCAGATGTTTGGGGCTTAGGAGTTAGGGTTTAGGTTGCTGAGGGTTAAGGCTCAGCGTTCAGGTTTCAAGTGTCGCTTAAGGCAGCCTTAAGCACCTAGCGCAAGCTGGAAAGCGGCTTTTCACCGTTCATGGCTACCTGGGTGGTTGTCAAAAGTATGGTCCCGTTTTGGATCCCTGTGATAATACGGCACCTAATATGTAGGGTACCCCAAAAAGGGATCGGAAGTTTGACCGCCACCCACCTGAATATCAGGACGTCGGGCTCAGGGTGTCGGAGTGTGATCAGCAAACTCCGATCATCCCTCCAGGCTCCTAAGACTTCGAAACCTAAGGAAGAGAAGAGAAAGCCAATAGAAAACCTCAACACTCCGAAATCCAAAGCCTGTTACCCTAAACCCTAAACCCTGAACCCTAAACCCTGAACCCTAAACCCTAAACCCTAAACCCTAAACCCTAAGCGCAGGCTCTACCACCGAAACATGGCTGGACTCATGCCCTCCTGGGACCATCTGCTCCGCTCCGGAACCGCGGAGAAGTTCGCCACCCGACCGCGAGTCTTTTGGAAGCTCCGGCTTCGGGTCCTGGGGGTTTAGGGTTTAGGGTTTAGGGTTTGGGGTTTAGGGATTCGGGTCTGGGGTTTGGGGCTAGGGTTTAGTGTCTGGGGCTTGGGGTTCGGGGGATTGGAGTTCTGGGCACGCTGCGATCATGGAGTTCAGGATCCAGGTGACTTAGATCGCAGCTCCGACGTGCTCCTATTGTTTCTGCCATGGCCTTCACCACCTTCGTGCGTTTGTGGGTGATCAGCGAGACGGCGCAGCACCTGCACGATCCCTTCCTGGCGCCCAACATCTGGTGGATGTACGCGCAGGCGCCCCTCTTCGCCGCTGCCTTCATCTACCCATCCAAGCTGACCACTGTGCTGGCGCTCGCCTCACGTTGGGCGATGTACTGTGTGAAGGCGCCCTTCATCTGGGACTCCTGCATCTGGGCCATGTTCACCGATGCCGCTTTCATCGGGGCCACGCTTCTGTACGAGACGAAGGACGCCGTGTACGCGTGCGCGGACGTGATCCGCGTGCAGATGGCCCTCTTCTACATCGGCGCCGGCTTCTGGAAGATCAACGAGGCCTTTCTGGATCCCCGCGTGTCGTGCGCATCGGTGTATGTAGCGTCACTCCTCTCATTCCTGCCTGAGCACCTCCTCCGACTTATCCCCGGCGGCCTCGGTCCGCTTCTTGCCTACGCGCCGCACGTCACGATCGCTGGGGAGATGGCGCTCGGCATCTGCCTGCTTGCCCCAAGCAGCACAGCTCGCCATGCAGGCATCCTGCTGTCCGCGCTGCTGCACTATTCCATCGCCATCACCCCCTTTCCCAACCAGGTGCCCACTATTCCCTAAACCCTAGACCCTAAACCCTAAACCCTAAACCCTAGACCCTAGACCCCCTAAACCCCCTAAACCCCCTAAACCCCCTAAACCCCCTAAACCCCCGAAACCCCCTAAACCCCCTAAACCCCCTAAACCCAACCAGGTGCCATCCTTTGGGATCATCTGCATCACCCGGCTCTTCTTCGTGAACCCGGATGCTTGGGTTGCCGCATGTCAGGAAGGCCTCGCGCTTCCACAGACGGCGGCCGGGACCGCGATGCGCGTCTTCCTGGGCACCCTAGTCGCCGGGTCAGTCCGCTTCACCTCCATGCCTCTCGGATCTGAAAAGGGCCCTGTTTATGAGCTCTGTGCGCAAGCATCTCTTCCTTTTAAAGTCTCACTTCAAAACACAGATGCATGTTGGAGAATCCCTGAAGGCCAGGTTTCTTCATTGACGGGTGCATCCCGCTGCAGACTGCCCTCTGCTTCCTGGGCGCCCGGGCCGTGACGATCGCATGCCCTCCCAAGGCCTTCAAGGGCTCTTCTGGCGTGCGGCAGGCGGTGCTCCGGATGGGTGGCTCTATACTCCTAGTCGCAACCCTGTGCTACGTGTTCCTCTTCCAGGTTCTTGGGCTTATGGACATCTCGGCGGTGAGCCCCTTCTCCACCATACGCCAACACGGAGGATCCAACCACCTCTTCATGCCCACGTCCTTGCTCCAGCAGTGGGACAGTACCTCACATTTGGACAAGTTTGGGGGTGGCATCGTGCGGGTTACGGCGTGCACCAGCGACTACATGAACGCGATGTATCCGGCGAATTGCACGGATGACCTGCCTGAGCGCGTGGTGGTCCTCCTGAAGGAGGCAGGTCACATCGCCCAGCAGTTCAGCCCCACAGTGAACCTCATGCTTGGCCCGGAGATTCGAGCCCACATACCACACTGGCAGCCAACAAGCGGCGATCCCTTCCCTTCATACACAGTGCCTGCCCTTCAGTTGCGGAGGATGGTGGCCGAGGCACGGGCTACCAACGAGGCCTTCACCCTGGAGTACGAGCACTTGCCCGGACGGGTGGGTGACGAAGCCTGGCGCCACAGCGCCGTTGCGACGTGGGTTCGCCTTGAGGAAGATGGGAAGCTCGGTAGGCCCTTGGGACTTCATTTTTTCTTTTTTAATATATCACATTTTTTCTCCATGATTGCGTATAAGAGAGGAAGATTCTCAGAGGGTTGAAAGCGCCAACCTAGGAAAGGTGGTCGACACTGCCATGCCCGCCAAGACGTGAACGCCCCTTGGGCGGCGTGCTCTCAGGAAGAGCTGGTGATGCAGCCTGCGCCTGAGGGATGGCTGATGAAGATCATGGTTTTCTTCCCGTATCCCATCATCCCAGGTTTAGATGTGCTACCATGCATGGACTGAGAGGAGAAAAAAGAGAGGAGCCTTCGTACCTCGCACTCGCCATCCTCTTGGTAGCCCCAGTGGTACCCTTGTCCCTTTTTTGGTTCCAGGTTCCCCAAAAACATGACCAACCTCAACAAGGGTGCCCTTATTGTAATATGGTTACTGGGCTACCAAGTCCTCGTGTGCGTGTTGGGGCTCTACCCGGAGGGCGGCGCAGAAAGGGAAAGGGGGGCCCTGGCATTTCTGAAGCTGCCCTCCCAAACCCTGCACCCCCGACCCCCAGGCCCAAATCGCCCTAAACCCTAAACCCTAAACTCTAAACCCTAAACCCTAAACCCTCAACCCTCAACCCTCAACCCTCAACCCTCAACCCTCAACCCTAAACCCCACACCCTGAACCCGAAATCCCCCAAAATTCGGGCTCCAAAGAAGCAGTTCCGAGGATTGGCTGATCAACTCGGAGCTGGATCACTTCCTGTCGCCCTCGCGGGCCAAGGCGAAGAGATGCAGCCGGAGCTTTGGGTTTAGGGTTTAGGGTTTAGGGTTCAGGGTTTAGGATTTAGGATTTAGGGTTGAGGGGTTTAAGGGTTTAGGGTTTCGGATTTAGGGTTTAGGGTTTAGGGTGCGGAGACGGAATCCTGGGTCCTTGTGGGGTTCAGTGGTTTTGAAAGGTCGGCGTTTCGGTCTTTGCCCCTCCAAAGCTCTCGAAGCGTGAAGCCCTCCTCTACCATCAGCCCCTTTAGGCCTCAAACCCCTCGAAGCTCCCAAGCCCACAAACCCCAAGCCCTAAACCCTAAGCCCTTAACCCTAAACCCTAAACCCTAATCCCTAAACCCTAAACCCAATATCCTACACCCCAAGAGCTTCACGGGCCAGGAAACCATTCTGCAATACCTGCGCGGCTTGGAGGTTCCCCGGCCCGAACGGGAAGCCATATGCAGGGCTTAGGGTTTTCTAGGGTTTTACGGTGTAGAGCTTTAGGGTTTAGGGTTTAGGGCTGAGGGTTTAGGATTAAGGGTTTCGGGTTTATAGGGTTTGGGGTCTAGGGTTGAGGGTTCAGGGTTTAGGGTTTAGGGTTGGGGGTTTAGGGTTTAGGGTTTAGGGTTTAGGGTTTAGGGTTTAGGGTTTAGGGTTTAGGGTTTAGGGTTTAGGGTTTAGGATTTAGGGTTAAATTAGGGTTCAGGGTTTAGGGTTTCAGGGTTCAGGGCATAGATTTCTCGGGCTTTGGGTTTAGTTTAGGGTTTCAGGGGTTTAGAGCTGTAGGGTTCTGGGGTATTGGGGTTTAGGGTTCTATAGGGTTTTAAGGTTTAGGCTTCCAGGGTTCCAGGGTGTAGAGCTTTGGGGTCTAGGGTTCCGGGTTTTGGGTTTTGGGTCTTGGGGTGTGGGGGTTCTGGGATTTGGGGTTTTTGTGTCTTTGGGTTTTCGGTCTGGGTAGAGGGGGCTTAGTTAAGATCATTATACGGTTATGGGGTTCCGGACAACTCCAAAAATCTTAAACCTTAAAGAAGCTCTAAACTCTAAACCTAAACCCTAAAGAAGCCCTAAACCCTAAGGAAACCCAAAACCCTAAAGAGACCCTAAGACCCTAAGCCCGAAATCGAAACCTAAAACCCTTCACCTGTCTGGTCCCAGGACGGGTCCAAAGAAGACAAGTCCGGGCTTTCCGGCCCAATCATGCTCATGCCGCTGTCCGGCATCTAAACCCCAAACCCTAGCGTTTAGGGTTTAGGGTTTGGGGTTTGGGGTTTAGGGTTTAGGGTTTAGGGTTCAACCCCAAACAAATAACCCTTAAACCCTGAATCTTGTATCCTAAAGCCTTACACCAACCCTGAAACCTAAACCCTAAAGCCCCCTCAGATCCAAGAAGCTCAACGGAAAGTTCCAGAAGCCTTGGGTTCTCTGTAGGGGTTGGGGGTTGAAGGGTTTAGGGGCTGTTCTGAAGGGTTTAGGGTTTAGGGTTTAGGGTTTAGGGTCTAGGGTCTAGGGCTCAAGGTTTGGGGCGTACGCTTTGGCCAGAGCGTCGTGCTGCACGGAGCGGTCGGGCTGTGAGTTTGCAGAACCCTGCATACCCCAATCGAGAAGAGTCCGGCTTCTCGAGCCCAAGACCCCCCAAATCCTTACATGCTGAACTCAAACCCTAACCAGAAATCCAGGGCCCTGAACCCTAAACCCCAACCACCCACTACGAAATCCCCAATTCCCTAAACCCTAAACCCCTAAACCCCTGAACCCCTAAACCCCTAAACCCCTAAACCCCTAAACCACTAAACCCATAACCCCTAAACCCCTAAACCCCTAAACCCCTAAACCCCTAAACCCCTAAACCCCTAAACCCCTAAACCCCTAAACCCCTAGACCCCTGAACCCCTAAACCGTGGTTCCCTGACAGGTGGGGCAACGCTTTCGTTTTTAACCGCAAGTTCGTCCAGGCAAGGACTGCCGGTCTTCAGAGCAAGATTTGCAAGGGCTTAGGGTTTAGGTTTAGAATTTAGGGTTTAGGGTTTAGGATTTTCGGGTTAGGTCACCTATGACTCTAGGACATTGTTGTTTTGGAGACAACTACTCGAGGGTTGGCCTTTTCCTCATCCCTAAACTCTTACCCTCTGCGTTGACAGTCCTGAAAAGCGCCCGGAACATGCTAAAAACCTGCAAAACTCTCGGGACTGCAATTCCAGTGCGTTTGACTCAACATATACATAAACAAGCACGTCTTTCCTAAGCTCTCAACACTAAACTAAACGATCCTAAACCCTAAACCCTAAAACCTAATCCCTAAACCCTAAACCCCAAACCCCAAACCGTAAACCCTAAACCCTAAACCCCAAACCCCAAACCCTCAACCCTAAACCCTAAACCCTCCTAAACCCCAAACCCCAAAGCAAAAACACGTCTTTCTAGCGCTCGTTTCGCTACCGGAGGCGCTCCGAGGCAACTGGGCTCTCCTTGGTCGCGTGGCCAGCGCCACCGTGGGGGACAGCATCTTTGGCCCCAGGAGTTTAGGGTTTAGGGCTAGGGTTTAGGGTTTAGGGTTTCGGGTTTAGGGTTTAGGGGTTAGTGTTGAGGGCTTGGGGGTTTAGGGTTGAGGGTTTAGATTTTAGGCTTTAGGGTATTGTGAAGGGTCTTTAAACCTTTGAGGGTGTTCAGGGGTTTAGGGCTTTGGGGTGGTAAAGGTGCCAAGCGCCCAGAACCCTAAACCCAAATCGCGGAGGTGTGGTCGTGTACCCGTGGGTTGAACCGAAGTGTGTACTGGTGGGGGGGGGGGGGTGCAGTGTGCGTCTAATCTGCGGTCCCATTGTGGGAGGTGCAGTACTATCATTGCAGGAACCCTAAACCCTAAACCCTAAACCCTAAACCCTAAACCCTAAACCCTAAACCCTAAACCCTAAACCCTAAACCCTAAACCCTAAACCCTAAACCCTAAACCCTAAACCCTAAACCCTAAACCCTAAACCCTAAACCCTAAACCCTAAACCCTAAACCCTAAACCCTAAACCCTAAACCCTAAACCCTAAACCCTAAACCCTAAACCCTAGACCCTAGACCCTAGACCCCAAACCCGAAACCCGAAACCCTAAACCCTACACCCTAAACCCTAAACCCTAACCCTAAACCGTAAAAAACTACAGTTTAGAGAGCTGGGGTTCTGCGTTCAAGCCTGATAATCCCGGGCCGTTGGGCATGAACCGAGCCACAAACCGCAAGGCAGCTTCGCTGGTGGCCCAAATCCCTGCAACCTCCCTGCCCGAAGCCCCAAACCCTAAACCTTAAACCCTAAACCCCAAATCCTAAACCCTACACCTTAAACCCTAAACCCCAAATCCTAAACCCTAAACCCTAAATTGTTTTAAGTTTCGAATTTTTAACGCCCAAAACCCCCCAAGAAACCGAAACCCCACACCCAGGTAAGGAAGGCCGCGCGGTGGGATGTCCGCTGCTGCTTGCCCGGGGTTTACGGGGTTTAGGGGGTTTAGGGGGTTTAGGGGGGTTAGGGTTTAGGGTTTAGGGCTTAGGGTTTAGGGTTCAGGGCACAGGGGCTTATGGGGCTTGCAGAGGAGTGTAGGGTCTAATGTTTTTTGGAGTTTAGGGTTTCGGGTTTAGGGCTTGGGGGTTCGGGCTTGGGGTTTAGGGTTTAGGGTTCAGGGTTTAGGGGTTAGGGTTTAGGGTTTAGGGTTTAGGGTTTAGGGCACCCGAAGTTTCGCTCACGGCCCTCAAGGCCTACACCCAGAGCCCTAAACCCTAAACCCTAAACCATAAACCCGAAACCCTAAACACCCTGAACCCAGTCAGGTTCATGAAGAACCGCTTCGAGTGGCCCGACTCCTGCTCACAGGATGCGTTGGTTTAGGGTTTAGGTTTTCGGGTTCAGGGTTTCGGGTTCAGGGTTTAGGGTTTCGGGTTCAGGGTTTCGGGTTTGGGTTTAGGGTTTAGGCGGGTTCAGGGTTTAGGCTTTGGGGTTTGGGGTTTAGGGTTTAGGGTTTAATTTGGGTTTAGGGTTGAGGGTTTAGGGTTTAGGGTTTAGGGTTTAGGGTTTAGGGTTTAGGGTTTAGGGTTTAGGGCGTAGGGTTTAGGGTGGAGCTCCTGGTCTTGGCAGCACTCGAAGGGCTTAGGCTTCAGGCGTTATGGGGCTTAGGGTTGAGCCCCTCAGACCTGGAACTTTCTAGTTTGGGGTTTGTTGGCTGTTCAGAGTCCCTAGTCCCTTTTCATGCCGATGCTGTGCGAGGTTTTAGGGGCGGAGGGGCCGTGATGCCGATGATGCGCGGGGGATTGTTGGCTGTTGAGAGGCCCTTCTGAGAGGTGGAGGGGCCATGATGCCGATGATGCGCAGGGTTGTTGTGGAGCCAGCATCCCCTTCTGAGAAGTGGAGGGGCCATGATGGGACTTTTGTGCCGGGAGCCTGTTCTATGCGCAGGTCTGCTGCTGCTCTGGTTTGCGCGGTTCCCCTGCGCCTTAACCCCAAGATGCCACAGGACATCATCTATCCGGCCTTGGCGATGAACGTCCTGCAGCTGCTACGGCAC